TCGTCCTCCTGCTTCTCGTCTTGCTCATCCTCTGCTTTATCAAGCGTAGCAAAGGCGGCAAGTACTCTGGTAAGCGAGGCCGGCAGCCACCGGGTGGGAGGCGGGGCCCAGGCTCACCTCCCTCAGGGGGTCTTGAAGGCCGTCTCGTTGGCGGGCCCCAGTCCCCGGCCATGGAAGGCCTGCACTTCCAGACGGTAGGAGCTATAGGGCCACGGGCCTTCCAGGACAGCGCTGGTGGTGGTCATGGGCACCCGAGTCTCTGGCAGGATGGCATGGCTGCATGGGGACAGGCAAGGGGCCCCACAGGAGCTTCCGTGTACACTGGCAGCACGTGGCGCTCAGGCTCACGTGGGATGAGGGGTCTGCCTCGAAGTCTTCCCAGCTTCTGAGCACTGCCAAGAGAGAACGGGGGCACTCAGGGCACAGAGGGTCTCCAGCCTGGGGATGGGGCCCAGTGCCCAGAGGCAGGCAGGGGTGGGAAAGGAAGCTGGGCCTTCTCTGTGTCTGTGTCTCAGTGAAGGATAAGGAGGACACCCACGTGGACTCCGAGGCCCGGCCGATGAAGGACGAGACCTTCGGCGAGTACAGGTGAGCCCAGGGATAAGAGTGGGGCCTGGCTGGCCACCTGGCACCACCCTTGCTTTCATATCTGACCCTGTCTCTCTCTTTCTTCCTTGCTGCTGGGTGATGTCAGGTCCCTGGAGAGGTAAGATGGGGGTGGTGGGAAGATACCGGCACAGCCTGATGACGGGGGCCGTTCCGCGGACAGTACCCTGGGGTTCTGCCATCCCCCAGCCTTCGGCCCCGCAGCTCCCTGTTTCGGGGAGAAGCCGACATGCCCCAACCCGTCCCCACACTGATGCCCAGTTTATGGGTCTGCGTCACCTGTAGGTTGAGCACCCACTTCCTTCCTCTTGGCCCCTGGATCCTGGGCATGCCCCAATCTTGCCCCTCTGGTGGTGTGCACCCCACCTGCCCTCCCGGGCCATGGGGCAAGGATGAGGACTTCTTCCTCAAATGAAAGGCAGGTGGAAGCTGGGCCCCGCCCTCCAGCCGGGCCTCCTCCCTCAGGCTAGACCTGCACGCTCCTGCTGGGCTCCCCCGGGCAGCCTCCCACTCCCTCCCGCCCTCTGTCCTCACAGTGACAACGAGGAGAAGGCCTTTGGCAGCAGCCAGCCGTCCCTCAATGGAGACATCAAGCCCCTGGGCAGCGATGACAGCCTGGCCGACTACGGGGGCAGTGTGGACGTCCAGTTTAATGAGGATGGCTCCTTCATCGGCCAGTACAGTGGCAAGAAGGAGAAGGAGGCCACAGGAGGCAATGACAGCTCAGGGGCTGCCTCCCCCATCAACCCTGCCGGGGCGCTAGAGTAGCGCGTTCCAGCCAGGCAAGGCCAGGCAGGGCCAAGTCTGGGGCCGGGCTACAGGGGAGTCAGAGGCCAAGACCCCCGAGCCCAGCACCTATGCTGACCTTGGGACTGAGGCTCCATCCACTCCCTTCCAGGCCTCGGCCCCACCCTCCCGGCCCTGGGCCTGCGGGAGGCTTGAAGTTGGGGGCAGAGGAGAGGAGCTCACTGCCTCTGAACCCCTTCTGACTACCCGGTCCCCACTTTATTGCCAAAACCCAGCTGCACCCCTTCTTGGGCACGCACTGCTTTGTTCCAACTCGGGGACCAATCACCCGCCCACCAAGAGCCTGCAGGGCCGTGGTTGGGCAGAGAGGAAGTAGGGGTGGCCACTCTTCGGACAGCCTGGCTGGGGTTGGGGACGGGACTCGGTGTCCCCACCATCTGCTCCAATCAGGACGGGAGCTGGGCAAGCTGGCCGCGGGGGCGGAGGAGGCCATCTGGAGGGCCCAGAGTCCCCACCTCGCAGTATCAAGCTGGTCGCCACCTTCCTCCACTGCCCGCTCCACCCCACGGCCGGCTTCCCGGAGCTCTGCACACACGCTGCCTTCAGTGCCCACCAGACAACATCCAAGTGGCCTCTGTCACTGCCAGGGCGTGGGGCAGGCACGTTTCCCCGCTGCCCCTGCCACAGCCTGCAGCCCAGGACCCTCTAGCCACCCTGCCCGGTCCGAGTAGAACCCCTCCTCAGCCTCCCCTGCCCCTCAGCCTTGGGAATGTAAATACACCGTGATCTTGAAAGTTTGTGCCCTCGCCTTTCCCCATATGCCACTAGTGTAGGCAGATGTCTGAGTCTCTAGGTGGTTTCTAGGTTTTATAGCAATTAGCTTTGATGATCCCATCCTAGGAAAAATAAAAACAGACACACACACACACACACACACACACACACACACACGGGAAAAAGGAAAGATTGGTTCTCCCAGCTCTGCCGCGCTCCTGCCTGGCAGCTACGGTCTCCGTGTATGCCTTTGCTTGGTCTGTTGATGAGCCCTTTACAAAAAAACAAAAGAAATATATATATATATGTACATAAATATCAGAATTATGACAGGCAAATAAAAACCTGTGACTGAAGACAAGCTGTGTCATTTTACCGAGCACACTGGCCTTAAGTGGACCCGAAGGGCCGGCCCCTGGCTCTCCAAGGGGAGGTCCGGTTCCTTCCCCACAGTTCAGGGGCAGCCCGTGTTTCATCTGCAACTGAGCACGGAAAGCATCTGAAGAGAATTTCTTTCCCCCAGTTGCCCCCTTCCTGCTGCCAGATCAGCCCCCCTGGCGCTTAACCCGAGCCCTTGGCCCTCCCGGCCCCCAAGGCTGAGCTGCAGGCCATCGAGGTCACCCACCTTCCCCAGGCCCTGGCTCCCAGGCCGTGGCCTCTCAGGGCTTGCCTGAGGGAGGCTTGAAGTTGGGGGAAGTTTCTGCATATCTCATTCTCCCGTCGCTGTTGATCAGTCCTGTGGGCCGACGAACATGCTGTCCCAGCTACTAGAAACACCGGCTCTCCCAGCACACACCCCTCCAGTCCTTGCCCCGGTTCCGAGCTCCGGTAGACAGCAAATCCCTTCAAGGCTTCTCCACACTCGTCATCCCGGCTTAACCTCCGGCCGTAGCAGTCAACGTCTGCTTCTTGTCCCCAGAATCAGGGCTTTTTGTGACATAACAAGGAGATGTTTTGCTCAGCTGAAGGTCCATCCCCCCTCCTCTTTTGCACTGAGGTGGGGGCCGGTGGAAAGTGAGCGGATGGGGAGCGTTGAGGCTGGGCCTTCCCCTGCCCCAGTCCATCTCGTCGCTGGAAACCCAGTGTGGCCTGGGAAGGGCTGACTACAGGGCATTTCCGACCCGGGGCCCTGTTCACTCGTGGCACAGAGCCTAACTCAGGGCTTGAACTCGAGACCCTGGGATCGAGACCTGAGCTGAGATCAAGAGTCGGACCCTTAGCCGACTGAGTCACCCAGGTGCCCCAGACTTGGGTTTTTAAAGCAAATTTAGGGGGGCGCCCGGCTGCTTTAGTCAGTAGTGTGTGACTCTTGATCTTTGGGTCATGAGTTCAAGCCTCATGTTCTGAGTGGAGCCTACTTAAAACATTAAAAAAAGGGGTGCCTGGGTGGCTCAGTGGATTAAGCCTCTGCTTTCGGCTCAGGACATGATCCCAGGGTTCTAGGATCGAGTCCCACATCGGGCTCTCTTCTCAGCAGGGAGCCTGCTTTCCTTCCTCTTTCTCTGCCTGCCTCTCTGCCTACTTGTGATCTGTCTGTCAAATAAATAAATAAAATAAAATAAAATAAAATGTAATTTAAAAAATAAATAAAAAATTAAGAAAAGATAAAAATTTTTTAAAAAATAATAAAGCAAATTTAGGTTTACAGAAAAATTGAACCGGCAGTAGAATTCCTCCACAGAGTCCCTTACTCGCCAACCTCAGCGGTTTTCACTCCCGTTAACATCCGGCACTTGCAGTGGGACACCTGTTACCACCCGAGAGCCGGGGCCGGTCTATTGTCCACGAGTCCGCGGCGTTCACAAGGGCTCACTCTGTGCGTTCTATGGATTTGGACAAACGTATAATGACATCAATCCGGCTTTCCCATATCCTACAGAATTATTTCGCTACCCCGAAAATCCCCTAAGAATGTCTTCACCGAGACCTGGCGTGCACGAAGGAAAATGTATAGCTGCGTTTGGACCTGCAAGCCCCTCAGATCACGCTGCAGAACACTGGACAGCTGAACCAAATTTTCAAATTTCCCAACACCGACAGATCAGCTCCGGGGCAACCTACCTCCCCAGACCAGCAGTGCCCCCTCCTCAGAGCTCTGAGTCCCAGGGCCTAGCCCCTGTCTCGAAGCTGCTATGTCTGAGGAACTGCAGCCTACCCATTGCTCCGGGAGTCTGTGGGGGCAGCTGGAACAAAGGACCACAGACCAGGGGCTCCAACAACAGAAGTGTCTCCTGGTTCTGGAAGCCAGAAGTCCGGGATCAAGGTGTCGGCAGAGCTGCGCTTCCTCTCCACACACTAGGGAAAGACCTGCCATTGTTTCGGCTTCCTCATAAGATCCAGACTGATGATGGAGAAACTGGTAACAAGAGTGTGTTGGGAATCCTATCTCAAAAGAGGGGCCGCATGGATGGGTTTGTCTGCGTCTCCAGGCCTGAAAGCACCACTGGGTTTGCGGGACCCGCTCCCCGCAACCCAGTGTTCTGCCTTCCACGAGAGAAGCATGAGCCCCGGCACTAACAGCCCTACAGCTATAAAAATCAAGAGAATTTTTATGGATTTTTATCTATCTTGTTTATTTTTTTAAGATTTTTTAAAAAGAGGGCACCTGGGTGGCTCAGTGGGTTAAGCCTCTGCCTTTGGCTCAGGTCATGATCTCAGGGTCCTGGGATCGAGCCCCACATCAGGCTTTCTGCTCAGCGGTGAGCTTGCTTCTCCCTCTCTCTCTGCCTGCCTCTCTGCCTACTTGTGATCTCTGTCAAATAAATAAATAAAATCTTTTTTAAAAAAGATTTTTTAAAAAAGATTTTATTTACTTATCAGACAGAGAGAGCACAAGCAGAGGGAGAAGCAGGCTCCCCGCGGAGCAGGGAACCCGATGCGGGGCTCGATCCCAGGACTCTGGGATCATGACCTGAGCCAAAGGCAGAGACTCAACCCACTGAGCCACCCAGGCACCCCAAAAGATTTTATTTTTTACATTATCTCTATACCCAACATGGGGCTTGAACTTACAACCCTGAAATCAAGAGTTGCTTGCTCTACCGACTGAGCCGGCCAGGTGTCTCTTAGAAAGTAAGAGAATGTTTAGGGCTCTCATGCAAGTTCCCTGGTGTCTTGCAAGGGGGTACCCATTCTCCTCAAGACCCACCATAACCATCCCCTGTTACCATTAAACCCATAGCCAGGGTCTACTCTCCATATACACCAAAAGAATAGCGAGAGTTTTGATAGTAAGTACTGGCAGAACGTGGGCACAGTATGTGTAAATTCTAGAGATGTTCCGCCAAGGAGGAGAGGATGTGACATTGAGTTAGATGCAATTTATTGAGCTGACGCATTTACCAGGGAGTCTGTATTTAATGTTAGCCTGTGTAGCTGCAAGGGACTCTAACAAGTCCACTTGGTTGGTTGACTTAAACTTGAAGTCAATCCTGGCCTAAATTCAGTGATATCAAGATGTCAGAACAGGGGCGCCTGAGTGGCTCAGTGGGTTAAGCCTCGGCCTTCAGCTCAGGTCATGACCTCAGGGTCCTGGGATTGAGGCCCGCATCGGGCTCTCTGCTCAGCGGAGAGAGCCTGCCCCTCTCTCTCTGCCTGCCTCTCTGCCTACTTCTGATCTCTATCAAATAAATAAATAAAATCTTTAAAAAAAAAGATGTCAGAACAATAGATCATTGGAATGGACCAATCACCCGCAAGGAAATTGAATCAATAATTAAAAAAAAAATCCCAACAAACAAAAGTTCAGGGTCAGACAAATGGCTTCACAACTGAATTCTACCAAACATCCAAGGAAGAGTTAGTACTTATTCTTCTCAAACCACTCCAAAAAACAGAAGAACAAAGGAAACTTCCAAATACACTCTATGAATCCAGTATCACCAAAACCAGATAAAGACGCCACAGAAAAGAGAACTACAGGCCAACATCTCTGACTAACATAGATGTAAAAATACTCAACAAAATACTGACAAATCAAATCCAACAGTACATTAAAAAGATCATTCACCACAATCAAGTGGGATTTATTCCCGGGATGCAAGTGTGGTTCGGTATTTACAAATCAATCAGTGTGACACATCACATGAATAAGAGAAAGGATAAAAACCATATGATGATTTCAAGAGATGCAGAAGAAGCATTTGACAACGTACAACACCCATTCACGATAAAAAAAAAAAAAAAAACTTCAACAAAGTGGGTTTAGAGGGAACATACCTCAACATAATAAAGGCCATCTCTGAAAAAAACTACAGCTAACATTATCCTCAATGGGGAAAAACTGAGAGCTTTCCCATGAAGGTCACGAACAAGACAAGAATGTCCTATCCGCTCTCACCACTTTTATGTAACATAGTATTGGAGGTCCTATCCACAGCAGTTAGACAAGAAAAGAAATAAAAGGCGTCCTAATTGGTAAGGAAGAAGGAAAACATTCGCTATTTACAGATGACATGATACTACATACAGAAAACCCAGAAGATTCTGCGGAAAAAACTACTAGAACAGATAAAGGAATTCGGTAAAGTCCCAGGATACACAATTAACATGCAGAAATCTGTAGCATTTCTGTACACCAATCATGAAGCAGCAGAAAGAGAAATGAAGAGAATAATCCCATTTACAATTTCACCATAAATAATAAGATACCTATGAGTAAGTAAACTTGACCAGGGAGGTGAAAGACCTGTGCCTTGAAAACTATAAACCACTGATGAAATTGCAGAATGACACAAAGAAATGGAAAGACATCCCATGCTCATGGGTTGGAAGAACAGATATTGTTAAAATGTCTAAGCTGCCCAAAGCAATCTGCACATTTAATGCAATTCCTACCAAAATACCAGTAGAATTTTTCACAGAACTAGAACAAATGATCCTAAGATATGGGACCACAAAAGACCCAGAATAGCCAAAGCAATTTTGAAAAAGAAAAGCAAATGGGCGCCTGGGTGGCTCAGTGGGTTAAGCCTCTGCCTTCGGCTCAGGTCATGATCCCAGCGTCCTGGGATCGAGCCCTGCATCGGGCTCACTGCTTAGCGGGGAGCCTGCTTCTTCCTTTCCCACTCCCCCTGCTGGTGTTCCCTCTCTCACCGTGTAATTCTCTGTCAAATAATTGAATAAAATTTTAAAACAAAAAAGAGAGAGAAAAAGCAAAGCTGGAGGCATCACAATGCCAGACCTCAAGTTGTATTAATCAAAGTAGTATGATACAGGCACAAAAACAGACACATAGATCAACAGAATAGAAGAGAATACCCAGAAATAAACCCACAACTCTATGGTCAATTCATCTTCGACAAAGCAGGAAAGAATATCCAATGGAGAAAAAGACAGTCCCTTCAACAAATGGTGC